CTTCTGTTCCTCAGCTTCTAGTTACATGGATTATGTCATACAGAGTGTTGAAATCGTGATAGTTATCCGAAAGGTGGCATGCATAGGAATGCATACTAACTGCTTCAGTCTCATCTATTCTCGTCTGACTATCAACGAAGTGAGTGGGTGTTTTCTATGACATATTCGTTGATACAAAAGACAGAACAGACAAAATCAGATTGAAAAGATAGATAGTAATATGCAAATCTAATATGTGATTTTGATGCAACCTGGCCGGTTTTTGTCAAGAATAGAGGCAGAACAGACCGAAAAGACAGATACTGATGCTTCAATCTGGTGTATCGCCGTCAGGTCTATACCGATGTGATTTGGGTGCTCTATGGCATATTTTTGTCAAGACCAGAGACAGAACAAATACACCGAAAAAACAGATACTTTTCAAGTCTTGATTTGTTTCTGTCCGGTCTTTAAAGATATGATTTGCTTTCTCTCTGGTCAGTATTTTGAAGGCTAGAGGCAAAATGGGCCAAAAACATAGTTTTGTGTATACCTAGTTCTGCAAATCGTTTGAATTAACTATTTTTCGAATCTCATATTTTTGAGTCAATGCTTCAATTATTCGCAGGCATTTATACATATCAGTAGCAGAGATCAAAATGTCAGCCTCAACTCACTCGTACTACGAGTGACAATCAAATCGCAGGTGGATGAATATTTCAAGAATACTATATTCTCCAGAATCTTTGTATGTGACGTCAACTGCGCATATGTTGTGAACGAGGAGTGATAAAAGTAATGGTTTCTCTATAATCTTTTGGTCGAAGTGTCTCTGTCAAGGCTGGAGACTACGCAGACTGAAACATTCAGAAATGACCTAACTACTACTACTCCCTCCATGCCTGATCTTCACCAATGTGATTTGCTTTCTGTGCCAGCGTACCGACACCACTGCAAAGAAATGATTCATAGAAAGGTTGAATAATCAAAGGCGACTGGGGGAGTAAGAATCGAGCATCGAGCGAGTGCGAGTGTTCTGTGAAGTATTGTCTATCATTCCACACCGTGGGTCAGCACACTTTCTCTTTGACCTGTTAGTCCAGAGTGTATCTAACAAGGTCAGGAACTGAAAAAACTGAAGTCGATGTGGTCTGTATGTCTGGTGTGTTTTTTTCAGGACCAGAGACAGAACTGATGAAAACAGGCCGAATCTGGTCTGTTCCTGTTCGGTCTTTAACGATGAGGTTTGGTTTCTCTCTGGTCTGTTTTCACTTGATGTGACTATATCTGTCCTGATTGTTCAAAATCGAATCCAAAAAAGGACTCGACGAGAACAAACCCAAAACACAGCTAACTGTCAACCTCTGATTCGTAACTGTTTATCATATATCGACGTAGAGGTGAAACTGTTATTGTATATCGGATCCAGTCTACTTTGTCGGTGTCTCTTCTTTACATCACATCACCCCTCAGGTCAAGGTTCTTATTTTCAGCTGGATTTTCCTCCCGTTTTTGTTTCGTTTGAATGGTGCATCTGCAACTGATATGCTTCACGGTAGATATTCGTATCTACAAAATGAAGTCACCATATTTAAATATCTACATGAACTACCAGAGAAAATGGTGCTAAACAATATCGTTTCAGTTTATACATAAGAAAGGTGTATATTTCAGGATTCAATACTTTTTGCGGACCAAAGTTACATAAAAATTGCAAACGTCAGACAAGTTAGGATTATGTAATGTCGCTGTCTTCATTATTATTGTCACTTCATTCGACTAATATTCTATTGAATTATTTCTTCCCCATCAAAAGTCATATGACTGAATACACACAATGAATTACCGTGGCATATTTTAAATATACTCCTAATCACGAAAGTTCATTTCAGTCCCTCCTGATCATGTTATATAAATACTTCAGATAAGTAAGTTCAGTAGTTTTTCGTAGAGTAATTCACAAACTCGGCGATATTCTTCATGGCTTACATCTTCATCAAACTTATGAATGCATTTTTCAACGCAATTACAGTCTACTGATAAAAATATGGAATGAAATGTCAAGATTCAATTATTTAATCATATATCTTGATTATTAAATGATTTGGAAAAACTTGTCAAAAGATGAAGTTCACAATTGTCATCTATTCTGCAGAAATACATCGCAATTTCGAATATCACCACGAAACCGTTATCAATCTGTTAGTCACAGAATGTTGTTGCGTTTTATTGATTTTTCCTATCGGATTGAAAACCAATTTTTTCTGAGGGCAAAACACAAGCACTACAAGGAAATCTTCAAGGCGCTCTAAGGGTGGTGCTTGTGTCTGTACATTATCATTGGCGATAGGAAAATGAATATTTACATAGAGTTACCAATTTTCAAGAGAGATGTGGTGTTAACGTATGGCTTGGTGTTCTTGATAATGAAATTATTGGCCCCCACTTCTTTGAAACATCTCTGACCGGAGAATTATACTTGGATTTCCTATCAGGGACTCTGATTGAGTTATTAGAAGATTTGTCACTTAGCCTCATAGGAAAATATGAGTATTTCCAACACGACGGAGCCCCACCACATCAAAGGAGAATCTGCAGAGATTTCCTCAATACAACTATGCCAGGAAGGTGGATAGGAAATAATGGTCCTATTGAATGGCCACCACATTCACCGGACCTTTCTCTTCTAGATTTTTCGTTGTGGGGCTTCATAAAAGATCAAGTATTCAGAACAAATTTTGAAAATATTGAAAAATTGAAAGATTCAATAAGGAGTGCCTGCATCGCTATCACTCCACAGAGAACTTCCACAAGCACACTATTTCTAGGGCAAGTATTTGTTTAAAAAATGATGGAAGACAATTTGAACATTTGATGCGATGTCGCGTGAGACGGTAACTTGAAAAATGTAACGTTAGACATTTCGTTATGGTGTTAATTTTCTATAATTTATTATTTCGTTACATTTTTTTTCGCAACTGTCTTTTTTTCAATGTGATGTATTAACGATACTACTATTAATGATGTTGATAACGATGTTATAAAAAAAATACTATGTGTCACAACAATAGTTTGATATTCGATTTCTCATTGAATAAAAAATTTAAATGATAGAATATTGATGATGTGTGAAACTTGAATCTGGTTTGGAAGCTAGGATATAACATGAAAATCAAGAAATCTATACCGTTTTTCCTCCATTCCATCAAACGTCTGTATGACACTTTCACCAATTATCAAGTTAGATATATCAGAAGTGGTACTTGGAAATAAAAAAATTAATGCAAAGTCACTCTTCGACCCCTTAGAATAGGAAATGAAGATTTGTATAGGCAGGTTGAATAAGTAATAACTTGGTTTTTATTTTAAGGTCTTTAAATACTGCCAGAAGAGTTCTACTCAAAAGTTGGTGTCAATGTTTTCTACTTAAATACATTTTCTAAAACTGCACTTTTTTATGGGCATAGAAAAATGAATTGCATAGTATCTTCATCATTTTGTGCTGTCAGAGGTACATTTTATTGTCAGAGAAAAATACCTTTTTACCAGAAGAAATACGTGAATTGGAAAATAGTTTAAGTTTTTGAAATTTCATTCAAAAATTGAGCGAACTTTGGTATTTGTTTCTTCCAACATCGAGTTGTTTGACAATATTTCTATAAATGACTTCATAGTGCTGCCATTTTGAATTTGGAAAAAATGGCTCTTACACCGCCATTTTGAATGGCAGTGTAGAAGCCGATCAAATGGAAAAAATACAGAGTTCTATCCAGAATTCTTGACTTAGATTCATTTTCGGTTGAGCCTGAACAGATTTTCATCTATTTCATCATCAAAAATATTGGCTTTGATGAATTATACTTTCATTTCGATTTTAAAATTTCTTTCCCCATAAAAAACTGAATGGCGCCGTGTACTCAAATCTCCAACAATTTCACTTCGAATTGAAATATGAGTTTGATAACGAGATAAATACTGATGAATATCATAGTTTTTCTCAATAACAATCACTTTCATCACTCAAAAAATGTTCAAACACTTTGGATATCATCGTGATTCGATTGGATAGGAAATTGAACTTGATGGGGTGTTCGAGCCACGCTACGTTTTTCAATTTCGTTGGTTAATGGCGTAAGGTAGACGATGAAGTGGAATATAATTTCAGGAAATTTCGCCCAAAAATATACGAGACGATTAATCTAGGTTATTTGTTTAATACTGTGTTATTCAAATTCTTAGGACTATTTCGAAGGTACATAATCAACACGCGTTTCCTGCGGTTGAACTAATACAAAATGAACTCGTCACGTGATGTTATTCAACTCTGAACTATTGAATTCATTGTACTGCTGGCGATAATTGGGATATATGCAGTATTGAATGAAAGATAAGAAGTCTATAGTTATACTTCTTTTGAACATGCTGACGAGTATTTGTTGTATAAAGTTTTATCAACTACACTGGTCTGAACTTTTAGTCTAATCTGAACTAATATCATAGAAGTCAATCACTCGCACTTATCGAACTTATTTTCATAATATGTCGAGAAGAGAGTAGAAAAACCTACTATAGGGGCAAAGCAAGTACGTTTTTATTGAAGTTACTAGTTCAAAAATTGTTTTATTATCAAGAAAAGTGTTACTAATTCCCGTCAAATAACAGGACGTTGTGTGGTTGCCTACTATCTTTAATTTAGCATGTTTTTGTTTCTTTTCATCTATATTTTATCAGTAGATAATCAGAAAATAATTTGCTGTTATTAGCAAAATGAGTTAGTTCTGTCTGTCTGTTAGATATTGAACATCCTTGTCAGCTTTGACGTAGTATTCCTTTTCACAAATATCCCAGAATCCGAAATTTTGTCCCTTTTCAAAACAAAACATTATATTCCACAAGATACGATCAACCTCATCACCCACTGCATGTCCAGTACATATTTCCGTTTCTAGGACAAATTTTACAAACAAGTCAAAGGCGCACCAATAGGATCTTCTTTCTCTCCAGTCTTCGCAAACCTCTACATGGAGGACTTCGGAACCAGAGCCATTAACACGTCTCATTACAAACCCTCGTGTTGGCTCCGATATGTGGATGACATCTTTGTCATATGGCCCCATGGATCCGAACATCTTCATGCATTCCTGAACCACATCAACTCCTCACACCCCGACCTAAAGTTCACAGTGGAAGTTGAAAATAATAACTCACTCCCTTTCCTGGACGTTCTCATCACAAAGTCCAAGAACTCCTTCTCGCACACGGTCTACCGAAAACCTACCCATACTAACCGCTACCTCAATTCCAAGTCCCATCATCATCCTGCCCAGCTGAATTCCGTTCTGAATTCCCTCATACATCGTTCTGTAAGACTCACTGACAACCACAATAAATCCAGGGAACTATACGAACTCACAGCCGCCCTTCACCAAAACGACTATCCCGTCTCCCAAATACAAAGATCCATCCAACGACAGCAAACACAAACCCCACCCCACGAGTTAACCGAGGAACAGACCAACCAGGCAAAAGCTTTTCTCCCCTACATCCATGGAGTCACTGACAAGGTGAGCCGAATACTGAAGAAACAAAACGTGAAGACAGTATTCACAGCCAACAACCAAATCTCCACTATGTTAAGAACACCCAAGAACACGATACGCAATGAAGCACAGGTCATATACGAAATACCATGTTCAAACTGCCCCAGAACTTACAACGGACAGACCAATAGAAGAATTTCCAACACAACCTATGAACATGAACTAGCTGTTCGGAAATCAGATCCAGCATTATCTCTCTTCAAAACCACCACCACCACCAGGAAATAGGCCACACAATAAGCTTCGAAAACACCAAGACCATTGCTACGGGTAAAATCTTCAGGCCAGAATAATTCGAGAAGCAATCGAAATTTAAAAACGCCCCAACTGCCTTAACAAGCGAGATGATTCGCAGAGACTACCACAAACATGGAGGACATTGCTGTCACGCAAAATATCTGAAAATAACTCAGGTACTTGGTCAGGCAAACCAGATACCTGCTACACAACAACATAAATATGGGCCCCGAACAACAGAATGACCAGTACGAACTTAGAGTGGAACACAGCAAACATAGAACTAGTAACGAGACTTGGGGACAAGGGAGATTACGACCTCGTCCTAGAGTCATGTAAGTACAAATCTAAGTCAT